TTTAGTTACATATTTAAAAGGGAGATAATAAACCTACGAGATGTAATAAGCCTTTGAACAAAGCTACAAAAAATCATCACCTAGGGCCAGGGATTTAGCTCAGTAGTTGCACCGCCTGCCTTGCAAGTGCAAGGACCTGAGTTCGATGCCTGATACCGAAAAAGAAGGAGAGAGAGAGAGAGAGAGAGAGAGAAAGAAGGAAAAAATAATCACTTGGCTTGGATATGGAAGTAAACAGAAAGATCAGTGCAACAAAATAAAATTTAGAAATGTGCCCATGAATATATAGAAAAATATATTTTACCATAAAGATTGAATTTCAGATCAGTAGAGAAAAAGGTGGATTATTCAATAATTCCTCTTGAGGCATCTGGCTCACCATTAGTTAAAAAAGTTGAAGCCCAATCCCTGCCTCACACTAAATACTATGTAGTTTCCAAGTAGGTTAAATGTCAGATTTATAATAAATAATTCATAAAGCTACTTGCTTATATATAGCTAAATATATGCATAGTTCAGGATTAGAGGGAATTTTAAAATGTAACACTAAAGGAAGAAAACGCTTTTTAGATCCTGACATAATTGAAACCGAATCCTGAGCCATCTTATAAGGTAAATAATTTCCCAGTTATTCCAATGTTTAACTGTATATTTCTCATTTTTTGTTTATGATACAAGTCTGATAATAAAGTTTTAGTTAAATGAATTATGCTGTACCCAGATTTAAAAATCACTATTCAATCAAGCATATAATGCCTGAAAGGCAAGTGTTCAGTAAGTATTGAGTGGAGAAATGAAAAAATAAACTAATTAATTTGTATCATGTTGACGTAGATTATACTCACAATATAATACCCCAGAAAGGAGATTATATTTATTTGGTTTTTTTTTGGTCCTGGGACTCGTGCTTGTCAGGCAGATGCTGAACTGCTGAGCCACATTCCTGCCCCTAAAAAAAGGAGATTGTATCTTGTGTAGACTCTGATCCTTTTTTTGTTACTCATCCATCCATGTATCCAGATGTAGACACTGAAAAAGCTATAGTAGAAGATGAGAGTGAAATAGTGACTTTTCACTGTACTGTGACATTATCAGTGTTCTTATTTTGCTTATTTCTATTTAAAATTTTTTTGCATGTTCCATGTTTGCTTTTGTAATGAGAAAAACTTTAGATTTTACATATGGATGTACTCTAATGTATTACAAAAAATGCAAATAGAAAATTGAATTCTCATACTCCCTTCAGGGATTCAAACTATTCAGATTGCATTAATATATAATAAATAGATGGCATAATACTTCATATTTATAGAGGTAGGCTAAACATTTTTGTTGGAATAATCAATGATAAATGGTATTATCACCTAGTACCATGCAATTTTTGTTTCTGTATATAAAGAAATGACTGAATAATAATTCAACAATTTATACTTTTTATAAAAATAAGAACAAATAAAAACCAATAGGTGTGATCCATGTTCATAAACATGATTACTATTAAGATGTTAATGTGATGTTAAAAGATAAAATTTTGCATAGCCTAGATTTTATTATAAGCAAAAGTTTAAATATTGATAATACTGTCAGAAGCCTATAAGAGAAATTGTTGAAAATTTGCCAGATATAGGTAAATAGAATAAGATGATTTATAAACTGAACTCACCTGAGGGGTGACCTAGGTTTTTAATTTGTCTCTTTAATAGTTGAATATTAATTTTTAATAAAACATTGATAATAGAAAGCTTTGCTGATTGGTGGCATTTATAAAACCTATTTGAACAAAAAATACTTAGCAAATGATAATGTTTTGATAGAATATTAATGAAAACTCATTTGATAAAATGTACTTTTTGTGAAATCATTGCTTTTTTCATCAAAGTATAACATTTCTATTAGAAATGCTGCATATAGGGCCGGGGATTTAGCTCAGTGGTGCTGCTGCCTGCTTCGCAAGTGCCGGGTCTTGAGTTTGATACCTGGTTCCTAAAAAAAAGAAATTCTGCATATATACAAACCATTGAAATTTATTTTGAGTTTTTAAGACACAGATCAATGATGACTTATCTCATATTACAAATATTAGCAAAATGGTGTCTTTGCATTTCTGTGAGGTCAGAAGTCAGGTGTGGGTCAGTCTTTGTTGAAAATTGCTGATGTTATTAAATTCACATTTGCTATACTCCTTCACGTTAAGTATACATGGTTGAAGCATGTGACACTGCCTTAATTTCAGCTTTCATACTATAAACAGATGTCCTTTTCATGATCTATTTAGTGACACATTTCCCTCATTTTTGTGCTTTTTGTTGGTGATCTTGCTGTTTAACAAGGTCTCCTGTTTAGTGCTGAAGTGCATCCAATGTTCCTAAAAAACAAAGTTACGATATGCCTTTCGAAAAGGGCACGTGTGTTAAATAAGCTTTTACAGGCATGCGTTTTAGTACTTTGGGCCCTGAGTTCAATGTAATAACTCAAATATACATTTTTTTTCAGAGAAAAATGTTCTTTAAACAAACACACATATATATAGCAAGGTTTTATTTTAACTTCAGAAAATTTGATGAAAGGTTTGCAGGACCCAAATTCTGTATTTACTGTAATGTAATGTTCAGTATCTGCTAATTCAGTGTTGCAGATATTTATAGCATATAACTTCTACAAATGAGAATCAGCTATATATAAGGCTATTTTAAAGGAAAAATATCGCTAAAACCAATATTTGAGTTGAAACTCATCTGTTCAGAGCCTATCAAATAAGAATAGTATAAAAAATCTGTCAAAATAAAAATGAGTTTATATTTTAATTTTCAACTCTTAAAGAATTTTGAAGATACAGACACAGACACTCATTAACATTTTTTTAACATTAAACATATTTTTGGCTTTGAGTAACCTATTCATGTCATAGAAAATGGCTATTACCCCAAGATCATAAATGCTTGAAATGACAAGTTTATGTCATTATGTGTGCTAACACACTTTATATTAGATCTTAATCAGTGGGTTTAATTATTAATTATCACTATAGTTGATCTAGCAATCAATAATACATTTCTCTTTTATATTAGTTTAATTTAAAAGGAACATCTCTGAAACTGGAGATACTCTTAGAGGCAGAAGGATGTGGTTTACTTTAGTTTTTATCAATACATTGTATTTCCTTTTTCCCTATCATAATGACCCTTTTGGCATCACTACTTGTGTTTACATCATAAATTCCCAAGATGTTTTTTAAAAGGAGTGGGTGTATTTTTGTTCTGTGGGTTTGTTTTGCTTTATGTCTCCATTAAAACTTGTTATGAGGGTTTTTTCCTTATCATTTGTATATTTTAATGCATACAACATAATTGCTGTCATGTTTGAGGCAGTAGGCTGTTTTAGTTAAGATGATAGGCTTTGTTATTTGACATAAGCCTGGTCTTAAATCCCATTTATCCTTCCTAAGTGACTTTGAAAAGTTATTTAATTGCCTTAAACCAGACTTACCTCTAAAATGTAATAATAACCATACCTTCCTCAAAGAGTTATGAGAGTTGTTGTTCAGCTAATATGATTATTTAGAGCAATAACTTGAACATATTTGGTACTTAAAACAAGTCAGTTATTATACTGATATTAAAAAATATAGAAAATGTATCATTAGCAAATTTGGTGCTTAACATAAAGTCAGCATCTAAAACAAACTTGAAGTGAGACTATCAAGAAAAAAAAGTTTACCATGCAAGGAAATAATAGATGTGCCATTGTCATTAGATATGGCTTCCATTAGCTCTGTTTAGCTTCTAAATTTACTAGCTTGTGAAATTTCATTGTGAAACTCGAGACAGAACAATGCATATGGAGTTTTACTTATAATTAACATCTTACAGAACATAATATTTTTAACCAATGAGTTTTTAAATAAGGGAAAAATATCTTCATCTAATAAAAACTCTTCTGTTGCCTGAGATGGCCCATTCTCAGTGAGACCTGCCCTGGCAGTGCTGGAAAACATGGCAACCTCTACCGATAGCCTAGTATGCTCCAACTTCCTTTCCTTCTTTACTTTTCCTCATGGAAAGACCAGATAGTGTGTTTTCTTTCATGTTCATCTCTAATACTAGATAGAAACTCAATGGCTGGCAGGGATATTTTTGTTTTATTATCTTGAGTGCCTAGAACACTTCCTGATACTGAGTAGTTATTTAAAATTTTTATATTGAATAAATAAAAAACAGATTTAGCTTTGAGAAATTCTTGTATATAAGTTATGGTAATGTTCACACTTCTTTTTGATATCTGTATGGGAAGAGTAACCCAACTTTAGGCCAGTGTCCTGCCTGATATACTCAAGATTTTTATCCTTTGGCATTTATTAAAGGTGCATTCTGTGCTGAGAATATACAACTGGTAGGATGTAGTCCCTTCTTACAGCGCTGGAGATAGCCATGCATACAGATATATATACTCATAGGCAGATATGGGCAGCTTTCAGGAAAGGTCCTATGAAATGAATGAGTCTAGAAGAGTAAGGAAGTCCAGCACCAAGGGAAGGAATGGCATTCTAGCCAAACCAAACTGCACAATGACTTCTTCTCTTCGTACTCTGCTGTGAGCACTTTATTATCTTCATGTGAAATACTTGCTTGGTATCCATTGAAATCAAGGAACTCTTTTTAAGAGTTCTTAAAGAAATGACCATGATGTTTTTGTGGGCTATCCACACACAGGAAAGACTGAAAATTTTATTGAGTTTCATTTATATTTTTTAGCATACAGATTTTTGAATTAAAGATTTTTCTTTTTAACATAGTCATCATGATCTGAAGGGACAGATATAATAGAAAACTCCATAACAGTTGAAGGAAGTTGATTTATTTGCAGTTTTGTGTTTTAGGTACATGGGGTATCCTGAGGTCTTTTTTTTTTTTTTTGGTACCGGGGATTGAACTCCGGTCCTTGCGCTTGCGCAGCAGGCGGCGAAACCGTTGAACTAAATTCCCGGCTCTCTGAGGTCATTTTAAAAGAGTAACTGAAGTGTTTTAAGTCATTCCACATAATTTTGTTTTGCCATTTTAAATCCATTAATTCTTAGTTTTATGTCTTCTGTCAGATCGCCACATTATTCATCAAAATACAGTATCCTGAGAATGATGAAAGTTCAGGTATTTTTCTCAAAATCAGTTATGAAAAAGCACCGATATTTCATCTTTCTTTCTCTTTTGAATAAATTGGATAAAAGAAATATTTGCAAACTTTTAAATTATCATTGTTAAATTAAAATATTAAGGTGTCACTTGAGACAGTGTACATTATGAAAGAACAAAAAAGGTGTCCTTGTTCTAAACATATGAGCTAGAATGTGTCTGTATTTCCTAACTTAGGTGGTGTTTCAAAACAGGCTACTACTGCTTTCCATTCTCCCTCCTCATGTACCCACCCATCCGTCCATCTCCTGACATCTTTAACATTTGTTTGATTTATGTGCTGGAATTACAAAGACTAATGAAAACACATAGACATTTTAGCTTTCTCACTGTCTGGTGTAGTTATAAAAGCAGAAGATGTGCTCTTAATAAACATGTAGTTTTATGTAACAAAGCAATTTTTGGAAAAGTAGAACCAAATATTTGAAAATATATGCTACTGTTGAAATGCTTATTATCTGGTGTTTGTCTCACATTGAGCATTAGAGTAGCAATATGTGGTAATGGATATTGTTTGAGTGTTTAAGGCAAATATACCTTTCTGCTTCTTCTGCTTATTATTTGTACAATAGTAGGTGATTTATTTAACATCTTCAAACCTTAGTTTCCTAATTTTAAAATAGAGATAATTAATATTCATCTTGTTGGATTTTTTTGCAGATTAAAAGTGATAAGTACAAGTCAGATTCAGTCTTACTGTCTCTTTACTTTTTCTGCTGTAGGTCATGTTTCTGTAATTTTCTAAGTTCAAAGTATAAATGGACTAGTGGTGTTTGAAGGTGCACTAATCCCTCCAATTTGGCAATATATTTAGAGTATTAATTTTGAGCTGGCAGATTTGTGGTAGTCATCTGCTGCATAGTTTCTTAATGATCTAAAATGAAAGAACTTTATAACTAAAATATTTACTTCATCACAGTGTGTCTCATGGGATCAAGGACATCAATGAATACCAGATCTAAGTGTAAAAGTGCAATAAGTCTTTGGCTCAACTTCAACCATCATTATTTTTGCATCATTGCTGTAAATAAAACACTGTCATTTTCTTTCCTTAATTTGCAAATCTTTCAGAAGTCTCTTTGAAATTTAGCCCATGACAGGTTTGTCAATTAGTCCGGGTTGTTGCTGCCAGCTTGTTTAGTCTATGTAAATGTTATTTATTAATGTGTTTGGGTTGCTGGAGCCAATTACTGAAATTTAAAGAAGGTGCAGTTGGGGACTCTTCTTAAGCCTCATTCCATGAGGGATATTCATCTGGTTATCATGGTTACCATGGTAAACATTGGCTGCTACCTGTTTCAGCAGCTTCCTCCTACTCTTTCCTATTTTCAGAACGCTATTTACATTTACAAACTGTCACCTCCATTCCAGCAGTGGTATCTTAATTTCATCTTTGATTTATATGCTTGTAATTGAAGCTTCCTACTTTTATTTTTGAAGGAACTGAATCTCTTAAAAAATTTTAAATAATAATTTAAAATCTTATGCAATAACAGCCTTTTTCTCTTAATATGAGCCCACTTTCAATATGATTCCACTTTTCATTCTGGATCACTACATGCAGTCCTCTTACTGCCTTTTTCTGAAAATTCCAGATGGTGTTTGTAAATATTGTGCAAATGGTTCTTGTAAATAAATTGCTCAAAATTTAGTCCATGGTTTTCAAAAACCAAATCTCTCAGTACCAAGACACAAACTTAAAGTAAGTAAAAAAAATATTTGACTAGTAAAATTGTTATTCATGGTTTTTGTTGCCAATGTACTTCAGACTGCTGTGTTGGATAGAAGACAGCTTAGATCTTTATTGGCCGAAAGAACAAAAGACATATATATTTCATGTACAGCATATTTCTTCATGTAATGAATCTAAGAAAACCTTTTGTGCTGGGGCTTAGGACAGTGACCATTGAAAGAGAGAAGGGAAAATCAGTCTCTAACATAAAGATTGGAAGGGAAAAACATATTTATGTCAGCAAAGTGTTTTATAAAGAAACACTACAACACTCTTTTTACTGTTCAACTTTCTAGAAATCTTATGGCTATTGAAGTTTAGATTAGCCATTTTTTAACAGGCTCTATTTTAACTTTGTTTCTATTTTCTGTGACCATAAGTAATAACTTATGGTAGTGAGAATTTAATTTTTCAAAAGTAGCCTGTGACTTTTCCAAGATTATGTTAATAATAAAATACGAGTTTTTAAAAAATGCTGTTCAGATATTTTTTCTACAGATTTGACAGTACAGTTCATGCAAGGGAAGCTGCTTAGGGCAGCTAATTAAAGTAATTGACATAACTCCAATTTCTGTAGCATTGAGAAAGAAGTTATTAGAATTTTTTTGTGTTTTAATAAATCTTCTCTATATTTTTCTCTTTGTAGCTTGTAACTATGACCTTTATCCTATTAGAACAAAAGTTCTTGAAACTTTTATAGAACATATCACTTTTCTTCATGTTTAGTTATGCTCTTGGGGCAGTTTGGTTTAGATTTTATTCTTAGTTCTTTTAAATTGGAGACCACAAGTACACACATAACGAGAAATGAAGTGACAGCTATGCGGGAAGCAAGGCCAAGCCCAGATTTTAAGATTGAAAGTGTTTCCATGGTATGCTTCTATGCTGACAGGAATCAAGATAGCACGAAACACATATTACATGAGAGAAAGGGGAAATTGATGGGATTGTGTACAGAAATTTTTCTAACGTTTTCATTACTCCATTCTGCCAAAATAACAACTAGGTAGTGAATTTTCTTAAAGTTATTTTTTTCTCTGTCATTTTTACAAGAGAACATGAAAAACTGCATATTATCAGATCATAGTGCAATGAAACCAGAAATAGCAAAAGAAACCACAGAAATTAAGCAAATGCATGGAAATTAAATAATACACTCTTGAGTAATCAGTGGGTTACAGAAGGAAAAAAATAATTTGTGCATATTTGTAATAATCCCTCCATTAGACCATTTAATAAGTTCTATGTCATCATCTTCAAGAAACTGGATAGTATGTAGAAAAACTAAAAGATGGTTTATTATTCTGCCCATAATATGAATTTAACAACACTTCTAAAAATAACAGTATTTTTTCCAATGTGGTTTAGATCTCCATCTTATTAATACTTAAAAGGATGATGTTTCAAACTGCAGAGCGAAAAATACATCATCTGAGAAAGCCTGTTGTAAGAACCTTTGAAAGCTTCCTGGAGCTTTACTATTGATTATTACTAGTGGCACTTGGCTTAGCTTCAAACCAAGAAAGAATAAAATTCTTTACCCTAGAAATTTTAAAAAAGGATTAGTAATATGTTGATATAAGGAATAATGTGTTCTTAATATTGGGCATGTGAAGCAGAACTGAAACTGGAAAGTAAGTTTTACTGTCCTCTGTGCTGGCCGACCATTTATATATTTAATGGAAATGTTAGGGTGATTTAGGTCAGCCTATTTAGGGACATTGAAGACTAGTTTGGCTCTGTTCAAGGCACTCATCTTTCTAAAGAAAATAGAAGGGACTGCTGACCATCCAGATTTAGATGTCTACTTCCATTTCAGCCAAATAGAATTAGGATAAAAATAGCCAACTATAACGTGGGCTACAGTGGGACTTTGGGGTTATTGCATCAACATCCTAAGTGGTTTTCCTGATTCCAGCCCTGCCTCTCTCCAATCTTCACTCTACAGTTAATGTAATCTTATTTCTTTAAAAGAGAAGTATTTTTGTGAAAAGAAGATTGAAAAGCAAAAAGAAGATAGTAGCCTTTCATATTCTTACCATCCAGAATTAAATAGCGTGAACATCTTGTTATATTTCTATTTTTTATTTTCTTCAACTAAAATTGCTGTTTTTGCAATTGTAAATACAACAGATGCAAATGTAGAAAATCAAAGTAAATATAGAAAATACTGCATCAGTCAAGGAACAAAACATTTTAAGTATATTAAGAAGAAAGATTTAATTCAGGAAACTGAGTCCCTTATACAATCCCTGAGAGATTGAGATAAGTATAGATCAGAGCCACCACTGGATTGGAAGTATTAACATGCTACCCAGATGTCAGAAGGCTGCTGTTGTTACTGGGGTCACCACCTGTCATTGATATAGCTGTCTCAAACCTGCAGGGCTGGTGCCTGGACTCTGGACGCTGGATTCCAGTCACTGCAAATATAGATGTCTTTTGGACTGTGGTTTTTAGCTACTCTAACAAGGGTAACCAAATTTCCGTTACCTACCACGTTATAGCTAGATACTGTTTTGTTTGTTTTTTTTGGTACCAGGGATCTAACTTGGTCCTTGCGCTTGCACAGCGGGCGGCGGAACCACTGAGCTAAATCCCCGGCCCTATAGCTAGATACTTTTATCCTAATTCTAGTTGGCTGAAATGGAAGAAGATAATATTTAAATCTGAATGGTCAGCTTCTTTTCTGTCTTCTTCAGACAGAAGATGAGTGCCTTGAACCAAAAAGTAGAAGGTAGCTTTTGCTTCCAAAATCAAGTGCCTCTGACAGAATCTAAATAAACTCTGAACCTAAGGGAGTCTGGGAAGTGTAGTTTTTTGCTTTTTTGTGTGTTTGTTTGTTTTGGTACCAGGGATTGAACTAAGGACCTCAAGGTAGGTGCAGTGCCGCTAAGCTAAATCCCTGGCTCCATAGATTTTTGCTTTCTAGCTCTTGCTCTTGGGGGATGGGGGGTGGGGGTGGGATTAAATTGCTATTTAATGCAGATGGATGCCAAATGGCAACAGACAAAACCCAACCAAAGCATAAAAACCGAAAGTCAAAAAGTCTTGAAATTCACTTCTCAGAAATAACAAATTAACATTAGGTACATCATTCCAGACATGTCTTCTGTATATGTATACATGGATAAGCAAAAATACTTAAAAAAAATAAGGTCACATAATACATGGTATTTTATTTTATATTTATTTATTTATTTATTTATTTTTTGGTACCGGGGAT